GAAGGACGAGGAGAAGCCAGGGCCCTCGCTGAGGTGAACATAGCCGGGCCGCAGCAGATGAGGAAGAAGCTGCACTTCTCCTCCGGTGGCAGGTTATGATTCTTTGAGGCTATGAGGTAGCACTCAAAGCGCTTGAGGAACCTGGCCCATGACTCTCCGGAGGTTCCAAAGGGGGCGAATGGTGGAAGAGCTGCCATCTCTAGGTCGCGATGTGCAATGAGGAAAGAAATTGTTCAGATTGCAGAGCCGGGGATGTTCCACAGTTTGAGCGGCTTCGCAGCTTATTGCCCTCTCGTTCATCCTAGGCGCTGATTACTGGAATCGCCGGGATCCCACCCTCGTCACCAGTTTTGAGGATCGACGGAAGGACGAGACGAGAGCCAGGACTTCCAGAACAAGAGGTTTATTCAAAGGTAACTATTTGCAGGCGATTCAGCACCCTCCCTGCTTGACAGCTATTTAAACGGAGCTGTCAAGCAGGGATAGCCAATGAGCACGCCCCTAGCAGCTAGCAACAAGTGACGACGCGCCCCTGCCAATCAGGGCGCCGCCTGGCTTGTTGCTAGCCGCCAGGTCGTAAGTCGAGGACTTTCCGAGTCCTCAACACAGACTTGTCCAAGAAAACTGAAGGAAGAGTAAAGCATGCCAGAAGAATTCACCATTTGATTTGGACAGGCCCAGTGGGAACAACAGCTATATTTCAGATACTTCTGCTTGCCAAAGACCATTTCCCAACAGGGGAAAAAAGTATTTCCCATTGAAAAAAATGGGATGTGGCTACATAAACATGGAAAGGGAGTTGTTGGTTTAAAACATAAGACCTGCAGCTGTTGCGAAGTTTGGTTAAAATAGAAACAGAATCAGCCAAGTGCCTGAAGTGTAGTTTTCTGTTAAGTGGAAGCTGAGGGGTGGGAGTCTTTATTTATTTATCTAAAGCTCTAAATCTGCTTTGGGAAACTTAGCAGTTACCTGTGCAATGGATCCAGTCTTCCTCTATTTCTCCTTTAGACAATCAGCCGTATCAGGACTGGTGCTTTTCAAAGCAACTAAATGCAAAAGAGTTGTTATAGTTGTGTTGCTGTCCTTGGAAAAAAGATTTCTTTATAAGAGGAACACATCAAAAAAACAAAAGGGGGTACAAAGGCCTAGAAAATGAAATGGACAATTTACCTTTGAGTGAGGCAAATTATCAAGCATGGAAGGCCATAATGGTCTATGAGGATGAAGGATAAAAAAAAACTATGATAAAAATCCTATAGAAGAAAGAGGGCTGTATTAGTTCTTGGATTGATGTGCAATTACCAGTAGTAGGAACAATAGTAACAGGGCCAGAATTAACTGGAGGATGGTTTTTATGTTTTATGTTTGTTTATGTTTGTTTGTTTAAAAATAAAAAATACAAAAAAAGTAAAAGGGACAGAATTTAATGATATTTAATGGTATTTGATATCATTTAATGAACAAATTTATGTGATGTAATGAAAAAAATATATAATTATGTCNGGGGAGGTAAACAAACTGCTAAACAGTTTGATGGATTGCTGTTTAGACAGTTTAACGACGCCAAGATTCGAGAGCTGTTAGAAACAACAACTCCCTGTCAGGCCCCGCCCACCGGAAGTCCGATGGCTTGGAATCTTGTTGCCACTCAGAAGAACCTTATAATGTTTGTTGATCAGATGCAGGTACTTGCTATAAGTGGAGCTCATTTTTGCTTCTGGCCATAGTACAGAACTCAAATTAGATTTTGCTTAGACCCATTCCCACTCAATCAGGTTTGAATGTACGTTGTTAATAGAAGCCAGGAGGATATATAGTTAAAAAAATTATTTGATGATTATCCCTAAGACTTCATTGACATTCTTTGTCTTGGTTCTTCAGCGTTTAATAGAGAGAGTATTGGATGAGCTGAGAAGCTGTAAGGTTTGCTATTTGAACACTCCTAGAAGGAGCAATAAAGGTTTTTTCTCTGTCTCTCAATCTCATTAATAAAGGAGGAAAATCAAGTGATGGGTTATGATCCCTATTGGTTTGAGAGGAAATCCAATAAGGATCTGGAATTGGGGTAGTTCTCTATGACTCCTTTGTCATGGTCAGATCATGTTCTGGTAGTCATTAGATTCTCTAGTGCCATCCCTCACTGAGAGAAGAATAATCTCCCAGTGGTCAGAGGTCATTGAAGGATGAACTCAACTGAACATAGGTGAAAGCTGCTATTAAGTCCTATCTTATGGTGGTAAAGGTGACGAAGTGACAATACTTATCTGGCCTTATTGTGTTCACAGATTGCCTCCCAATAGCCATGTTCTGGGTGACCCAAGCCCTTCTACTGTGGATCAGGAACCAGGCAATTCACTTATAAAAGTGTGCCAGGGAATTTTCAGAGCAAGTGTCAGACAAAAATCACTTGAATGTTTCCCAGTTAAATGCCAGCTTTGGTACAGGTCCCATGGAGGTGCTTGGAGGAAAGATCTTGCCCTGTTGTTATAAAGAATGGTTTGAATCTGTTGGGCCTGAGGAAATGGATAGGATCTTTATGACTGTGAGCTCAGCCACTTGTTCATTAGACCAGTTCCCCTCCTGGTTGTACAAGGTTGGCCAGGGAGTGACACGTATAGTAAGGTGGGTTCTAGCAGTGGTGAATTCATCCTTGAGAGATGGGGTTGTTCCTTTACCTTATAAGGAGGTTTTGATTTGTTCCCTCACCAAGGAGCCATGGATAGATCTCACTATACTGGGCAACATCTGTCCAGTGTCCAATCTACCTTTTTTAAAGGAAAGGTTGTGGAGAAGGTGATTGTGCAGGCTCTGAATGAAGCAGATTATCTGGCCCCTTTCAGCCCAGATTCAGGTTTGAACATGGGACAGAAATAACATTGCTCATGCTTTTGGTTGATCTGCGTCAGAAGTGAGTTTGGGGTAATGCATCCATCCTGGCATCCTCTGCAGGTAATCTGGGGAGGGCCCAGCTGTTTGATGGTGGGCCAGCAATTGTGCCATGGATTGGCGGCTCACTTGGGAGACGGCCTTTTATCGTCCCCCTGAGTCGGACTTCCAACAACCGTGGTACTCTGCACCCAGATTCCCCAGGCAGGGAGATAGGCAGTATTCCAGGGACAGATACAGGTTCCAACTGCAGGGCAAGTGGCCCTTTCACAGGGGTGGTGGTGGCAGCCATCCCTTCTGCAGGTCCAAGTGATCCAGCTCCGGATCACCCCATTGGCTGTCTCTCCTTGTATGCGGATGCCTGGGAGCACATCACCACGGATGAGTGGGTTCTCCAGACCGTTAGGCTTGGGCTAAGACTGGAGTTCCGCTCACATCCATTGAACAGGTTTCAGACCTTTTTCTCCTCCAGAAATCAGCCAAGTGCTCCCTCATGCGCAAGGCTATCCAACACCTGCTGGATACCAGGACAGTAGAGTTGGTTCCAGAGGGGGAGAAGAGGTCAGGATTCTATTCAAACCTTTTTTAGTTCCCAAGGGTTTGCGGGGGGGCATCTTGGACCTCAAGTTACTGAACTCCAGACTGGTCTACCGCAGGTTCAAGATGGCCTCCCTCAAGTCCATTCTGGAAGGTATCCGACAAGGGGACTTCCTAGCCTCCATAGACCTCATGGAGGCCTACCTACATGATCACCCCCGAGCACCGTAGTTTCCTCAGATTCTCCCACGAGGGTATCCACTACCAATACAGGGCCCTTCCCTTTGGGTTAGCGTCGGCCCCCAGAACCTTCACCAAGGTATTGGCCGCAGCAGTGGGGCACCTCTGTTCCATCCCAGTCTGACTACATTGTTACCTAGATGATACTCTCATCCTGGCCAAGTTGGTTGCCAGGGCGAGGAGGATCTGGGTATCACAATCAGCACCCTGAGGTCCCTGTGAGGTGTTCCTCTCACAGGAGCGTAGAAACAGCATTGTTCAGCTGGTTCAGGAGATTCGCAAGACTCGCTCTGTTTCCATAGCTCTTCACTCCAGGCTTCTTGGGAAACTCATCTTCTGCATCGGGATCGTGCCCTGGGCTTGTCTCTACGCCAGAGAGCTGCAGTGTTCCTACCTCCACACCAGAGGGACGGGACGAATGATGCGAGCTTCAAGATCCCTGTGACACCCCAGATGCTCCTTTCCCTCTGTTGGTGGCTGTCGCCAGCTCTGGGCAAGGGATCCCTGTTCAGGAAACCAGGAAGGATGATCCTAACAACAGACGCAAGTCTGTTCGGCTGGGAGGCACACCTGGAGTCCCAGTTAACGCAGGGCTGCTGGATCCCAATGGACCTGCGGAAGAACATCAACTGGCTGGAGCTCAGATTGATCCACCTAGCCCTTTGACACTTCAAGGTGACAGTCTCCAGTCAGCCTATCCTGGTGCTGACAGACAAGGTGGCGGCCAAGGTGCTCGTGAACAAGCAGGGAGGCACGCACGAAGCTCTTTGGCTGGGGAGCTGGGTGGAATGGAACCTCCGATCGATCTGGGCGGAGCACATCTCCGGGGTAGAGAACCAACAGGTGGACTGGCTCAGCAGAGAGACAGTGGACAACAGGGAGTGGTAGCTTCATCCCAGAATTTTCACAGATCTCCAGAGATTTGGTTGGCTGACAGTGGATCTCTTCACCTCCCTGTCAAACACCCAGCTGCCGAGATTCATCTCAAGGTTCCCGTCTTGAGGAGCAGTGGACTCCGATGCCCTACGCTGCAGATGGCCGGCGGGCCTTCTCTACGCCTTCCCTCCCCTTCCCCTCCTTCCCGGAGTTCTGAGGAAGCTAGTATTAGAGAGGGCAGAGGTCATCCTAGTGGCCCTCTATTGGCCCCGTCACCCCTGGTTTGCAGACCTGGTGAACATGTTGAAGTTACCCCACTGGAGAATCCCACAGGGGGAGGTGGTTCTGTGCCAGGGGACTCTGGAACACCCAGATCCAGAGTGGCTCCATCTGACCACCTGGCGCTTGAGCGGGAGCAACTAAGGGAAGCCCACTTCTCCACCAGGGTCATCAGGATCATTGAGGCTTCCAGAAGGGGTTCCACCATTCGTATCTACAACATGTCCTGGGCCGCCTTTGCGACCTGGTGCTGGGCTGCGGGGATAGACCTGACTCTGGCCTCCGTGCCCCAGGTATTGGACTTCCTCCAGGACGGCCTAGAGAATGGGTTGGCACATAGTACCCTCAGGAGGCAGGTCTCAGCCTTAGCCACAGTTTTGGGGGAGGAGGCTCCCGATCCATGTCCCAGCACCCGGTCATAAGGCGATTCCTCAGAGGGGCAGCAAACCTTCAGCCCCTGGTGGTCCACCCCTTCCCCACCTGGGACCTCCCCACGGTGCTCCAGGCCCTTCTGGAGGCACCTTTCGAGCCCCTGAGGAGGTGAGCCTACAGTTCCTGACCCTCAAGGTGGTCAGGAACTGTAGTCTTCCTGGTAGCGATCACCTCGGCCAGGAGGGTGTCTGAGCTTAACGCTCTCTCCAGCAGGGCAGATCTCTATCCTTCCACGACAACCAGGTCGTCCTCAGACTCGACCCTGCCTTCATGCCCAAGATCAACTCTCCCTTCCATAGTTCTCCAGGACTTCTATCCAAACCCCTCCAGGGGAAGGGAAGAGCCCTGGCATTGCCTGGACGTAAGAAGGGCCCTGCTCATATATCTGAAATGCACAGCGGCCTTCAGGCGGTCGGAGGCGATCTTCGTCTCCTTCCAACCTTCAACCCGAGGAGCTAAGGTCTCCCTGGCCACCATCAGCAGATGGATCAGACTGGCCATCTCCAAGGCCTATGAGGCGTGAGGGCTCCAGGTACCAGAGGGCATCACCGCGCACTCCACCATGAGTGCGGCCACCTCCGCGGCCTGGGTCACCCAGGCACCCATCAAGGAGATCTGCAGAGCAGCTGCCTGGTCGTCGCCCACGCCATTCATCAGACACTACTGGCTGGGTACCTTCGCCTCCGTGGAGGCTGCCTTCTGGAGGAGGGTTCTGCAGGGAGTCCTGGACTCTCGGGGGACTCAGGCCCAATGAGCCCTCCCATGGACATCTAGCTTTGGTATGTCCCAGCTGTGACTCCTCCCATGCCCACTTCGGAGACTGTCAGTTGGTCTTACCTGAACTGCATGTCTCGAAGGTGGCGTGGGAGTAGTCACTTCCCACCGTTAGGAAGCCTAGGGGCTTGAGTAGTTAGTTCTGGTCAGTCAGGGACTGGGAAGGGAGGTGTGTGTGTGTGTGTGTGTGTGTGTGTGTGTGTGTGTGTGTGTGTGTGTGTGTGTGTTCCTGTTCCCTTCCTTCCCAGGCGTCTCT